TTGACCCTTGAAAAATCGTGTTTTTTTTTATTATTGTCATTTGTTTTCATATTTTTAGACAACAATACAAAACAGACAGAAAATAAAACAGACAAAATGTATTAATTTCTAAAGGTTTTTTGAGAAAAATTAAATGCTCATAAAAACTATCATAAGTGTTTTTAGAAACTCTCTCATAACATTAATAAAAATTATAAGGAGTTCTGATAATCTACAAATTAATACATTTTTTATTAAACTTCTTGCAGCTGTTATAAAAATTCTTAACACTTCAATCAATTTGTGTAAGGTTATTATAGTGTTTCCTCTGATCTATTGAGATCTGTGAGCATAGTATGCTGTATAAGTCTCGTATAAATTTATTTCAAACTTCTAATAACGAGATAAGTTTCCGGAATGTAAGCTTTTACCACGCTCTTCAATATTTAAAGCATTTTGCATTTAAAATAAATAATTGCTAAATTAAATAATTTTTACTTCTTTTCACAAAATTATTCATTTGGTTTCAATTTTATTTTTTTATATATTTTATTATTATATAAAAATAATAATCTATTGCAATAGAATATTGAACTTTTAGTCATAGAGTTAAGTCACCAAAATGTATTGTGATATTTTCGAAATCAAACGCAAAAGTCTATTTAATTCTTGACAAAAAATTTTTAATAGCCGTTTTATCTTAGGAACGTATATAAGACCAAAAAGTTTGCGATACTTATAATCATAATATAAGGAAGACGAAGACTGAAGTAAAATGGAAAATCGTTTCACACAATCCATCTTTATCCATGTTTATCCATCTTTTTGCTTTCTTTTTCTATTCTGCTATTCGCTGACACTTGTAAATTTTCTTATTTTTTTCTTTACATGTAAATTAATTTGAGCACTGATTGCTACATGAGTGCAATAAGTAGACTTACTTCTTAAATACCATGATTTATATCAGGGCTTAGAACTGAAATTTTTTCCGTTGCAGTTTTTTTAAGTTTTCGGCTCGGTTTCGGTTTGCAGCCCAGAAATAATGTTCCATTTTTTTTCTAAATATTTCATTTCTGTATGAAATTTAAATAAATCATTTCCTTTTTGAATTCAATAGTCTATCGTATACTAGTTCTAAATTAAATGATTTAGTTAACAAATGTTTCGTGTAAATATTTCTTATGTAGAACATAATTTCAGTCAATTTATGTTAAAGTATATATAAAAAAATATATATATATAAAAAATCAAGAACTGAAGAGAAATTTGCGTTAATGAACATATAACAAACTATAATGTGTTAAACCGAAATAAACCGATATATTTTTTTTTGGTTCAGTTCCAGTTTTTGTTCCAGCAAAAATATCGGTTTTTGTCGGTCTGCGGTTTGCAGTTCTGCTCCGGTTAGGGTTCGAAGCACTGATTTATATTGAGTAAATTAATTTAAATAGATTTACATGTTTATTATTATGTTAAGCTTTTTCCGAGTTAGTGCATCTGGGCACTTTTACTCTATGATAGCTGGGGGAATTCTGCATAGTCCCGCCCATCTCACTGACTAATTTGAGTATTCCTGATAATCTTCATGATTATTCAATGATTGATCTAAGATTTGCGTACCGCCCTGAGCGGTTAGTGATTACTCTGAGATAAGATAGTGCTAAGTAGGGCAGCCTGTCGGTTTTCGGAGCTTTATCCCTTATGTATTTTTTGACCGGATCTATTCTAATGTCTCTTAGCATGTCATTCGTGCGGATGTACTATAGTACTTTGAAGAGCCTTCGCAGAGCCTGACTTTGAGCAACTTATTTACATGTTTAAAGTATAATATAATTGCTTTAGTAAATGCACTTGAGGATTCTAAATTTCTAGCAGTTTAAATATATATTGCCCTCATGAAACACTCAAAGCACGTTAAAGTGTATTTTTAACTGTTTAAAACAAAGACTTAAATTTGAACATATAAATTTATAGTCAAAGAATAAATTTAAAGAAAATTTAAAGACACATAAAAGTTCTTGAAAAGTTTACGGACGCCGCATCATTGCTTACAAAACGTATATGTTAATTAAACAAATTCATACACTTCAGACATATTTGAGAGATCATAGTTAAAATCGCAGATTCAAATACGTATCTTGAGAAACCTTATGAGATGGATTTACTGCTGTGGCACCAAAATTTGTTCATTAATCCGTCACTGGTATATGTTTTTTAATTCGGTTTATTGCATTACTTTTGCTGATATAATGAAGCAATATTTTATCATTTATATTACACATAAATTTAAACAAAAAACATAAAATAATAATAAAAACTACAGACATAAAAAAAAACTACAACGATTATAGTATCCTAATTAAAAGATTATTAAATGCTAACGTTTACTACAAAAGAAATAAAATACAATAATGTCTTATTATCACTTCTATTTATTTTTACAGACTTCGTTCGTTCGTACCCATAATGAAAAAAAAACCATAAAACAAGACTCGAATTAAATGAAAGCTTCATATGAAAAATAGGTTGCCTTGTTCGATGTATAAACTTATATAGGAAAGCGTGTGAATTAATGAAGACGCCTACATACTAAAAATCTATTTACAAAATACGCTAGAAACGCAGCTATGGAAGCAAACTTTTTCTACTATTCATTCATTAATATTCTCCTATTTCTTAGGCACTTACATTGCTCAAGTGTATTAAAAACAAAGCACGAACAACTCCTACTTAGTTGAAACCTAAACCTAAGACTTAGACGGCGAAAAACAAAAAGATGAGAAAAAAATAAAGTCATGGATTTGCATGCAATTAACTTTAATTTTTCTTTTATTTCATTTCTACGATTTTACGATTTAGGACGCATTTTTCCAATTAAAATGTTGAAAAAACCAAAATAATATTACCAGTGAATGAATTTAGTGCTGTGATTTTTTTGCCCCTAAGGCTCTCGGCTTTTTATGTTAAACCATGTTAATGCGGTTTTATAACAAATTTTGCATAAAAAATTTTTTTATTATTTTCCAAGCAAATGAACAGCTTAACAGTGCGTATGAGTGATAACATTATGTCTATATGTGATTTCGGTTAACATATTTTGTTGCTGTTACGCACGATTTGATGTGGCAACCGCTTTAGTTTCGTTGCTCAAATATAAAATTCTTTGTTTATCTACTATGGAAAAACAAAGACTATTTGTTTTTGCAGATTATAAGTGAATAAATTCATTCAAGTGAGGTTTCAATTACTGTTTATTTAAAATATGAGAAGCTGTTCATTTTACAGGAAATGTGAAGACTTTATTATCAACAATATCATTTCTTGTTTTTGGTTTTAAATTTATTTTTTTTAAATTTTTTATATATTCATATTCATTTTTATTCATTTATTTAATTAATATTAATATATAAAATAAGAGTAAAATAAATAAATAAATAAGCACCATTTCCTCATTCTCAAAATCACCAAGTCTAATAAGGGAGTTGTTTAAATGTTGCTTCAAATAAAATTGATGTCAATTAAAACCTTGCGCAAACTTTAGCCCATTAAGTCTCCATATCTTCTTTTAAGAGTCTTATCACAATAAAATTACTGTAGTCTGAGAATGGCTTAGAACCAATCTTTAACTTTTTCAGCGAACACAATATTATCAGAGATAGAATTCCCCGTGTCCATTTTTAAGAGCCTTATCATAAAAAAACTAATGCAGTCTAAGAATGTCTTAAATATAGAACCAATCTTTAACTATAAAATTCCCTGTATCTACTTTTAAAAATCCTAACAGAAAAACATTAGTTTAAAAATAAAAAATGTATGTATGGAAATCACCGTATCCTCTATACGGAGTCTTTTAAAAAACAATAGCAAAGATAGAGAATGACTGGCTGATAGAACAAACCTTTAAGTTTTTCGGCGGATACAATATTCATTTCACCAGAAGCAGAAATCACAATATTTCTTATAAAAAAAAGTTCAGCAAACGCCGAGAATGGCTGGTAAATAGAGCAGACCTTTAAATCTTTCACCGATTATATTAAAGTCAAAGACAGTTATCCCTGTATTCTCTTCTAAGAGTATTTTCAAATAAAAAATTGAGAGTTTTTCTTTTTGCTTGATAAAGTGACAGAGCTAGATACGGTTGACCACAAAAACTGAGTTTGCTAATTATTAAAACTAGATAAGATATATTTTCTTAGTACCATAACGGGTCGTACTTCCAACACGTTAAAATTGGAATAATAACAATATAGAAGAGGGAATTAGGTAAATTTTATTAGAACTTTGCCGCAAATAATAAAGAATTAAATACACGCAACAGCTTTAGTTATCCCAAAAACATTAAAAATTTAAGAAATTATTTTCAGCGAAGAAAAATTAGAATAACTACAGATATTTGACAACGCAAAAATATCAGAAGAGTATATGGCTTATGTTCTTGGTATGTTTGATGATTTTAAGAGCTATTGATACATATTTAAAAAAGGTTTTTATGAAATATGTAACCTTGATTTAAGCAAAGCTTCACAACTACAATTTGTAAACAAGTCGGCATTCAGTTGAGGGAATATCAATCGGAGAATGTCAATTAAAATGATCAAGAACCTAACAGATTGCTGGAAAATTTATATTTTCCAAGCCTATGCATACGTTAACATGTTCTCTATACTAAATATTATGTATTTTTATGGTTTATGGGATATACATCTACTAGTACTGAGTTATTGTTCCTTGGTGCATTTTAGAAATGTTTCTCAAAAGCTCATTGGTAATTTTGGCTAGACTCATATAAATTTCCAATTTAATATGAATTGTTATAAATTTTTTGCTATATCAAAATTTTTCATATATAGTTTTACTAATTATATGAGAAAATTAATATGCTTTTTCGATTGCTTTTCAATTGGTCGACATATCGTAATAGAATTATAACTTGTTTGACCGCAATCAATTTTAATTACATTGGAATTTTTCATTTGAAATGTTTTTTAATTAATCCTGACTTTTACATTTTTTTTTTACAGACCTGCGTACAGCATTCGATTTACTAGACAGAAATCGTGACGGTCGTGTCACAGCAAGTGAACTGCAGTTTATGCTTAAAAATCTGGGCATTAATGTACGTGATGAAATTATACACGATCTCATACGTGAAGCAAGCCACTCTGGTAAGTTATACAATATATATAAAAATGGATGAATATTAAAGTGTGTATATTTTAAATAAACTGAGTATGAATATAAAATACGCGCATTGAAGGCCAAAAGGGAATGAATTGAAACGCGTGCTGTTGAATTATGGTCTTATACAGTTGTCACATGGATTATTAGTACCACAGAGTGCATAGCTGAACATGTACACATTTGCACATATGCTTTAATGCACATAAATCCAACTGCACTGACATATCTGAATTCGCACATTCCAGTTCTAGAATGTGCTAGAAACTCATTGCCTAATTGCACTTACCTACTTCCGCGGTTATTTATTTTGTAAATCATATCCTGGCACCGGCATTTGTTCGTATTGCCTCTCGAGTCGCAGCTGGGACACACCTTTTTATGTAATTTATACCGATGTTCATATTATTTATGTATATTTGCAGTTGTCAGTAAAAAGTTGTAAGTTGTGAAATTAATTTCAAATTATTTGTTTTTTGCTCGGTATCATTTTATGTGTAAATGAAAATGCCTGCTCAGAGTTACAATAGTGATAAATTGGATGAATTGCCCTTACGATGGTTTACGAACAAATGCGTATCCTTTCTGCACATTTGCATGTTCGTATCTATATCTGTTTATAGTATAAGCACATGCTTGAGTATATGAAGTATTAAATTTTGCAATTTATCATATTGCTTGTTATATGAAATGTGATAAAAGATGTTTTCAACAAGTTGATTTATTATCGTATGATAAAAATTGTTTCAACTTGTCGTATGAGTGACAATTATTTACTATAAGTTTTGTATTATGCGTTAATTTACATGCATTCATGCTATGGTATAGCTTGCTAGATAATGTATTTAGTAAATGTCAGCAAATCAACGTCTGTTATTTGACATTTAATATAATTGCAATGTTAAATGTTTGTTTCAGAAAATATTTCTATCTATCAGTAATTCACTAATCAGTAATCAGTAATTTTAACAATTTTACTTGTGTAGTACCTATAGTGGCTGTATAGCCTTATTAACATTGTAATAATTTTTGATGATAATAGAGTTGCTTTTATATTAATAGACGGACAGACGGAAAAAACAATCACGGTCATCTGTAAGTCTTTTTGTGTGGATTGAGTTCATGTGAGCTGAACATAGCGTCCAAAATGATCTTTCTATCATTGTAAACAAATTAAATTAAATAATTAAATATACAAGATATGATCAATAAGTAAATAGAACTAGAATAATTTTTTATGAAGTATGTGCAGGCACGCGCATAGCCAGGATAAAGACTTGAGGAGCTGCAGCTCTCCTCGAACTATATTTATTCATGTGCTATCATGTAATGTCATGGGTGCATTCCATCAAAATGAATTAATGCTTTCACTTCGTATTGTTACAATTTTATCTCATTCATTATTTCGTATACGTATTATGGTAACTATCGTCATCGAACACCTACTGATTCTGTTTTATATCTAGAGCTGAAAGTTTGTCTCCAAAATGTTCGTCAAATTGAAAAGTGGTAACCGCTGTAAGTGTATCTTTTAACCTTGAAGTAAGTCACTAATTAGAAAAGATGGAGCACCATTGAAAAAAAACCATCAAGTAAGCTTCAAATTATCAAAAGTTAAATAAAAATGTGCTTTCAATGTTGGATATAAAACTTTTCCAATGTATAATGTATAAATATTATTAATGTTTAGCAATGGAAATGTAATTGCTTTGGTTTCGTGTAGTTTATTTCTAAACCTAACATGGTTTTCGAAACGTTATCGAGTCAATTAAAAAAAAAAGTCTGATTTTTCGATTGAAAAAATTTGATATGCAAACATTTTTAAATTAAGAAAAATTTGCTCCATTATCACAAATGTATCACGAGTGTTTAATAAAATGAACATTTTTTTAAATGACTAAAATGACCTGAAAACCCTATCGGGAGTAAATTTCTGACTAAGGATCTGTATACTAATGTTTATAAAACAATAAATGTAAAATGATTTTTACATTTAACATTTGAACACTTTTGGAAAAAATTCATGCCCTTATTTAAATTTTAATTTTTTTATATTTAACTAAGAAATTAAGATTTATGTATATCGATATTATTTAATAAGTACTTTTAAATGAGCGCTAATTACCAAAGTACTCGGTTTCTGCTTCAGTTTATAATTATTTTAGTCGGAAATGTATTAAATATACAAAAAGATAATATTTAAATTTTAAAAAGATTTTCTTATAACAAATAAATGTTCAATTTTTTAAAAAATATATATACAATTATAAATAAATAAATTATGATTAAACAAATAAAAATACACACTTATTTGAAAGGAAATTTGCTCAAGTACCCCTAAAATCAGGCAATGAATTTTCAAAAAAAGATGTTCCACGTTTATGTACTTTAATTTTAAGGATTAAAGTACTCAAATCAAATATATTTGTAATAAAAAATTAACAAAATGATGAATACCTAATATTTGCTAATATATAAATCTAGGCATTTTCCTATTACAGTATGAATTAATTGGAAATATACTTTCAATACGCCATCAATAACGCCATCAATGGAAGTGAAAGCAATTGCAAAGAAATTTGCTACCTCAAATGCAGTTAGCATATTATCCTTGTGCACTATAGAATTGCGTCTGTAATTGACAGTTAAGGCTGACAACAGGACAAACTGAACTGTGTTGGATGTGACAAGTTGGCGATTATGCCATTGACATAATAGCAACGCGTCGCACAAAATGGCGACAACTGCACACAAATGCAAAATATCCATAAAAATGACACTGAATTAGTTCGTCTGCAATATGGATGGGTTCCTTTGCAAATGACAATAAATGTCTCTATGCGGGCGATTTAATTTCAAATTGACAGAAAATTGTTATAAGCTTAAATATAGTATTAACAATTAAAGGCTAGAAAATATGCAAATTTTATTGTTATCGGTGCCAGGACATTTATGACATTGAATTGCAAGAGACATTTATAGATATTGTTAGATTCCTTTAAAAAGGCAATAAAAATATTATAATAACAGTTATTTTACATTTATTAGTATTATTATTTTTTACATTAAAATATTTTTAAAGTCCTTTAAAGTCTCTCAAATAAAAAATATGAATAAACAGTAATAATATGTGAAAAGGTTAAAGTCGTATTGTTAAAGTAATATAATCGAACTGAAGCTTTTTAATACTTATTATGTTATGAATTCTTAAAAATAGTACCACATTTGTTTACCAACCCTTAGAGAAATGTTTGATTTTTTCCACAATTATCGGTACATTTTAAGATTATATAAATATTACTAATTTTAACGGTCCGGATAATACGAAAACAGCAATATTTACTAGAAAATGCAATAAAGTTTATTGGTTTCTTTACCAATTCTGTGTTAGCACTAGTTATGTTCAGTTCAAATTATACCCCCGAAGGACACAAATTGTGGGTGGTCAGTTTGATATGAGATTGCTTTGCATATATTTGTTTATATACCATTTGCCGGCTTCCTTACTTTTGGTTAACTCCCACTTAAAGCGGAATTAAGTGAATATTTTGTGTAATTTATTGCGCTGTGGCCACAACTATGATTTGCTTAAAGCGTTTTTCGACCACAGGGGGTACATGTTTGTGCAAGTGTTTACTCTGCTGTATGCTTTGTACTGACACATAACACGCTCGAATACTCGTTTCAAAATCATTTCATGCGGTTCAGTTGGATTTGTGGTTTAAATGGTATTTAATGTTCGTAAAATCTTTGAAAATCAACAAAAAATAAAAAAAAACTTGAAATTTCGAAAGCTGAATGTTTGGCATTAGTCAAGCAACAAATTTGCATAATATGGCTTTGGGTTTGGATGCTTTACGGTGTTTATGGTAAACTAATGCAAATAAACGCCATTCTTTTTTTAAGTAATTCTCGTAAAGTATTTGATTAAGTCAATAAGAGTTTTGCTCTTAAGAGTTTTAATAGAATTAAAATAATTAAGGAATAAAAATAAGTTCTATACCATAAAACGTAGTAGAATTTTCCAAAGCGTTTTCTCTTCATATTGTTATTGAATATCTTAAAAAAGCCGTACTTGTGCTAAAATAATTTCAAATTCATGTAAAGTATTATCTTTAAGTAAAAAAATAAAAAAAAACAGTTCAACGTCAGCCTTGAATTCAAATAACGGATCACCGTTGCCCATAGGAACTACTATGGGTTCAGTACGCTGTTGGAATGTAAAGCTCTTTTTCGATAAACAAAATTTACGCCAGGAATCACTTTCTACTGTACCTTTATTCTTCATGTCATCTACATTTGAGTCTACAATGTTCTGTAAATAGTTCAGTGTTAAGTTTAATATCGTTTCTGCTAAAACTAAGGACAGCGGAATTATTTCATTTCTTATTTTATTATTTCAATATAATTTCTTCCAATCACATATTAAGTTATTTGTGAAGCTATTTGTAATCCCGCAAAAGGGCTCTGGACCAATGAAAGGAGTACATGCACTCTTCTTTGCTAGGGAGTCTGCTATTTCATTGTCCTCATATTTTCCTTGTCCCGGCACCCATATAAGAGTAACAAAGTTCCTCGATCCTAGAATATTGAAAAGTTAAAAGCATTCCTAGACTAATTTTCATTCGAATGAAAAGTTTGCTAATGATTTAAAGATAAAGATTGGAATGATCAAGTAAGGATCACTTATAAAACATGATGTATGAGATTGAAGAAGGCACAGCAAATTAACATTCAGCAGCTTCTTTGGGTTGGTCTTATCGTTAAAAGATATATAGATGCTTTAACGAAACAGGTATTTGAAGCGGTGGGTGGTAGAAAAAAGAGTAATATAAGACTGTGTTTCCGCAGAAGTCTTTTGATATACCTGCTAAGGTAACAAATTATTATGGCTATTCGAGTAAGTAAGTATATAAAAAATTAATCGTAAAAAATTCTTTCATAATTTTATTCGTGATTTTAGAAATTAATTATATGTCTAGTAGTT